CGAAAATAGCAGAAATAGAAAATTATTTTCAACATTTTTAACTTTAATTGGCTTCCTAAGGAGACCATCATTCTTGAATCTGTTTTATCCTTATTAGGACTCATCAGGAAGAATTAAACAATCTCAATTCCAATCTCTAATGGAACCAGTAAAAAGGTTACATTTTCTCGCTCCTCGCTATAGTCTATTTTTATGTATGAGAGAGTATTAAAATAATAAAGCGTTCGTAATCCATAGGCGTACCACTTCTTTTAGTAGACAGTTAAAATATTTTTTGAAGTTATTCCTCGAGTATACACTTATATTTTCACCTAATTAACCTGCTTATAACTTCTAAACAGCTGAAGGTAAAAAAGTGCAATTTTTTCTAAGATGTTTTATTTTTCCACAAGGTATGTTAAGAACATTGTGTCAAACGGGTTATGTAGGTATAAGGGTTTAAACTTTGACTTTTAAACAACGTTACGTTCATAAATAACAATTTTAATATAAAAACTACTTCTTACCTACAAATCCAAATCAGAATCGAAATCAGAAGATGAACTGTCGCAACCAATATTTACAATGAGTGGCTCGATCATTTCATCAGTAATATTGTCCAACTTCCACATTTTCTCTTCTTCTTTAATCGTATGATTTACTGCCTTTTCCCAGTTTTAAGGCTTCACATTATTTACAGCCTCCAAAAACAACTGATTAACATCACTCATTTTAAAAGAATTATTTTTTCTTGAAACTTCTCCCTTTATCTGTGCCCATATCAGTTCAATCGGGTTTACTTCGCAATATGGTGGTGATCTAACCACCGTCATCCCACGATTTTTTGAAATTTCATCAATTTTATATTTTTTGAATTTCTCTTTATGAAGGGAACACAAATGATACAGTTCTTTTCTCACAGAACCAGGATGGAACTTAATATTCTTTGAATTTAGCCAATTCGGTAAATCTTTTTTTAACCACTTGGTTGTGGGCATTTTTCTATAAGTCTCGAGTGATACCTTGCATTATCCATTACTATTATACAGTTCTGAGGAAGAAGATCTATAATTTGTTTGAACCACTCTTTAAAGACATCAGCATTCATGTCCTCATGGTAGTCACCGGTACGAGTAGATTCAAAAGTCAATAAACCACCTTTAACAAAACCGTTTGAACTACCGATGTGTACTATTATTAGTCTGCGCCCCTTTCCTGATGGTGGATTTAAACCAGTAGATAAATTATTTAAAAAAAGCCTGTCTTCGACTTGTAACAGTTTCATCTTGCCAAAATTTATTTGGTTTATGTCCCTCGTTGATCCATGTTTCATCTAAATAAAATATACGTATTTCTTCTTTGGTTTCTCATTTCTTTTATAGTCCTTAGGTAATTTCTTCTCCATACTACAATATCGCTTCTTTCTATTAAAATAGACTTTCTGGAATGTTTTTTCCATAGAAAACCTATTTCTTTTAAAAGTTTCCATAGTGTGCTTCGACTCATTTCAGGGTAATCCTTATCATCTCGAACCGTGGCAAGAACTTTGTCTACTGTCGGAAATTCTTTTCTAAAGAAGAACGCATGCACTTTCCTTCGAAGTCTTTCTTTCAAAAGATTTTCTAATTGAAATTTTGGTTTTCCTGGAGCTTTACGTGCTGTTTAAAACTCGCCACCTTTCTCTTCTTTAACAACTCTGTAAATCGTAGATTTCCCAACACCAAGCGTACTACTAATTCCACTGTGTCATCAACACTTTTACATAAATGTTTGTCTGTAAATGATTTAAAACAATTAAATATTAATGTTTTTTCATTAACTGTTAAAGGACCGATTTTTTGTCGTTTACGCGGCCCTTCCAAATTTTCCATGATCACACTAGAATTCACACTGCACCTTGCAAGTTGCAACTAAACGACATTTAGTAAACTGTCAAGAATACACAACTTGGACCTCCTTACTATATGGAAAACCTATAATCGCATTTTCGGTGAAATTTGTTGGGAAGCTATTTATCTACTTATAATTCGATTACTGTAAGAAATTCTTGGAATTAAAATTTAACAAAATTGGCAAATAGGTACTTATTGAAAATAATCTTAAGATACGGGTATGTAATCTTTAATACACAGGGCTTTTGGCCTGTCCAAACCTTTTTCTATTGTTCTGTGCAGCTTATGTTTATAAAGGACCAATAAAAGACCCAAAACTTGTAATAGCTCAGGTACATTTATTACAATTTTAGGAAATATTTAGATTATTCTGTAAAAATATTTAAAATGACTGTACTAAGTTTTGCATTAGAAATACTGTTTTATTACTCTCTCATACATAAAAATGGACTATAGTCAAAGTAGGTCGTTGGGTGAGAATCAAAAGTTATGGAACAGCATCTACACTTAGGAAGCAAAATCAAAACTCGCTGTGGTACCTGGTGGAATACGGAACAAGGCAGAATAATAAACAGACTGGCAATTATCAAAAGAAATATATTATAATTCTCAAATGTAACCAAAATAAAAGCAATGTAAGAAGTGAAAAACTTAAAGTCCATGTAACAGAAACGTAGAGCGATCTTTTCTCTCCTGAAAACAACTATCCTTTAGTATTGAATCATATAAAAAGGAAAAACAGCTGAAATAGAAAATAATTTCCTTTAATATATTAATTTTTGGGAATATATAAATGTTTAGGAATATATAAATTTTTAGGAATACATTAATTTTTAGGAAGATATTAATTTATAGGAATATATAAAGTTTTAGGATTATAATTTTGATGAAAATATTTATTTAATAGTCATTTAATATACCGGGTGTTCAAATTAAAGTGTTACAGTTAAATACCGCCGAAAATATGCATTTTAGAAAAAAAAGTTTCAGACAAAAGTTTTATAGTTTTTTGGGGGAAACATTCTGGCAAAATTCATTTTTTTTACATATTCTTAAAGTACATAAAAAAATAAGAAACTTCTAATGAAAATATTTTTTTTATTGGACTTTTACTTTTTGAGTAACAGCCACTTAAAAATTTTGCTAGGCGAAAAAAAAGTTGACCATATTATGGTTAGCCATAAAAAACAATTTTAGCCAAAATTTTTTCCCCACAAAACTATAAAACTTTCGTCTGAAAAGTTTTTTTATAAAAGGCGGTATATAGCTGTAACACTTTATTTTGAACACCCGGTATAAATCATTCAAAAATATCACCTACGATTTTCCAGCATTTTTTTGCTGGACTTGATTAAAGACATGTTTTGAACTTGAACCATATGTAACAAGAATTGATTGATCAATTTTAAAAAAATCAAAAGTATTAAGACGTGAAATTAAAGTAAAAATCAGACTATACGACCAAGGAATACATCCATTGGAGTGTAAAATGTGTTGAAATACAGAACCGCAATTAAAAGAACACTAACTAAATAACTCTTATTTTTAAAGTTAATTGTAGTTCACAAACATTGCACAAAAAAATGCATTCCAGTGGTTAAACGTTGCTTCAAAACACTGTTATAGTTTTCTATTAGTGACGCAAGATACGAAATTTAGAACGCGTGAAGAAACCATTTTTAGCACTCGAGATTTTTTAATTATTTTTAACTTATGTAGATACGGATCTGATTTATCATCCAGAAATTACCTTTTTTAGTCTTCAAAATATAAAATTGTCTGTCGAAACATAAACGCCAATTAGATATATTTTCCTGTAAATAAATCATTAATAAATAACATATATAGAAGCGGGTCTAAGTACAAACCCTGCGGTACCTTTTAAAAATAAAATATTTCTTGTTAAACAAAATTCCACAAACTGTATCCGATTTCAGGTTTTGAAAGTTGTTCATCAAAAAGTTTGAAAATTTGGAATTATTAATGTATTAATAATAATAATTAAAAAAAAAAAAAAAAACGTTTTTTCGAGATATTTGGGTAGTTTTCGGTTTTAATTTTGTTTATCCCTATAACAATGCACATTTAAGGGTGAGTTAAGCCTATCGACCACAGATGGGAAATTGGTTTCGCAATGGGTGCTAAGCTTGCTCTAAGTGCTAAATTTACGATATCTCTAAGCCCCTCCAAATCTGCTAATAGCTTGTCCATAATGCCACCATTTAATCGTTGTTAATAATAATTATTGAGGTTATGAATGAATAAAATAATAATTGAAACATCCAAATTCACCATTTCATCAAACAGAGAGTCGAGAATAAACTACAGATGGTAAAACAAAACAAAAATAGAAATGTTTACATTGGTCAAACAACACATATCATACCGATAAGGATTAAAGAACATTTGCGTTGAAAAAATAACGACAGAAACATCAATGTATTTCGTAATTGTTTTTTATCCATTATCCATAATCCATTTATTCTTTGTGAAACGTGAATAAAAGTAAACAAACCATTTAGAGGTGCGAAATGCTATATCGCTCCATTTATGGCAAACATGTTTTCATGTCTCAGCGTCTCGTGTATTATCTTAATAAAGGTAAGGTATCGAATGAACCCTGAGGCATCATATTATGTTATCGCATCTCAACTTTTATCAGCTGTTACAAACACACGTAACATTCATTTTTGGAATGTTGAATGTCTGTTTTATTTAGGATATATTTTCGTTTCCTAGCTATCTTTTTTCGACTAGCTGGCATGGGCGTATACGGGGGGGGGGGGGGGGGGAAGGGGGCAGCAGCCCCCCTGGATTTTCCAGTATACAATGTCACGCGTAAAGTCCGCATCATATGGTATTTTTTTTTAAATGCTTACTAATCACCCAGGAAGGGTTGTGACCGTTTTCCAAATCTCAAAACTCTTTAACGAGTCTTACATGCAAGCCGCACACCTCTTAACGAAATTAACGGATTCAAGAAGACAGGAATATTTTCGGACAACCCCTATGTTTTCACTGACATTAATTTCGCAGCAGCTGAAGTGACTGAGCAAAATGAACCTCGAAATGAGGAAAATGATCTGGTCCATGAACAAAATGAAGAAGTCAATGATAAAAATATTGCAGAAGGATGACGTCAATGAAAGAAATATTGAAAGCAACGCGCAAAATAACGCTTTACCAGCAACTGTTACGCAATCTTTAGCTTCGGTTAATGAACCCTCGACATCGAAGACATCAAATGGTTTTAACATACTGTCAAATGATATTCATCCACTCCCTAAAATGACATAATAACAACGTAGCTCAAAATCAAGGAAGTCTGGGGGCACAGTAGTTTTGACAAGCATTCCGTATAAAGACCAATTGTTAAAGGAACAACAGAAGAAGGAAAAGCAGGCCGAAAAAAGCTCTAAAAAATAATAATAAATTGACAGAAAGAAAAGTTTCCAAAGAAAAAATAAAAGGCGAAATGTGAGAAAGTATACGACTAACAAAAGAAGAAAACATGACAAAAATGACGAGGAATCCGAACTGGAAGAAGATACAGAATGTGTTATTTGTACCGCATGATGAGTGTGTAGGAATCGACGATAATGACTGCGATCCATACTGCTTTGACTATTGTATTGACCCATGCCAAGGGGAACAATGTATGCAAACAGTAGATGATTTGTAATATCATCTTGTTTTGCATTTTAATTCAGAGTTTTGTGTTTTATCGTTTTTTGATATCCTTTTATTAGCTGTTTTATTACATAGCGATTTAAGATTATTTTTAATAAATGTCTTTTGGTTTAGTTAAATAAAGTAATTTTGGTAGTCGTTAATTGTTTGTTTTATTACGAAGAAACACTAAAAATGCATATAGAACAGGGATCATTTTGCCTGACCTAAGGGATCATTTCGCCTTACTTTAGGGGATCATTTTGGCCGACCTATCAGGGTAAAACGATCCTTTTGCAAACATCTAAATTACTGCCCTCAAAAAATTTCTTACCTATTATACCAACATTTTGGTAGGACAATATTTAAGTACAGTCTACCGATATTCCAAAAAAAATATATTTGAACTTCTTCTCTTGTATACTTTGTTTTTTGCAGAGATTTCTAGCTTAGAGGGATCATTTTTAGCCACCCTCCCCTATTTCTCTTAGAGTTTACAAAGTTCTTAAAATTTTTGAGTTTGCTAGGCAAAACCTGCTCAGTATTTCTCACGTAATCACTATAACATTGTCTCGACAAAGTTTTAGAATCTAAGTCTAATCGTATAATCTTGGGGTAGATGAGTAGTTGCATATTGTCTGTGGGCTCTTTTTTTATATAATGCATTTCCTTAGCTCTGGGGATTACTATTTAGGAAAATTGCCAGAAGAGAACCTTCTAATAGGAACAAAGTTGTCTATAGTGCTAGATAAAACATCATACAAAATGTTGACCATTCCATCTAAAGTTTTGTTGTCAAGCAATTGATCACAAAAAATGCCGTCTAGATAGTTAGAAATTTTGATATAGTTTACTGATTTGAAGTCATAGTAGTGACCTTCTGCTTTTAAGCTATTATCTGCATACTTAGCATTACGTTTAAAACTAATAACTAAGAGAGGATGCTGTCTGTGTATCTGTCGGGGACCACTAGCTCTTCTGTAGCCATACCAACCTTGCAATCTACTTTATGGACAAGAATGAGATCAAGTAACGAATTCTTGGAGTTTTTGAAATAGATTATGGTAAGAACAGATATTGTTAATAGTTAAAATAGATTATCTTTCAGTTAATATCAATCCTCGGCTTGGACCTGGTTTAGCTGTGGATCAAAAAGTATCTTGAGATCATTCAGCGTGTAAATTAAAATCATCAACTATACAGAAGCTGGAGTTTTTTTTAGATAGATGGGAGGTATATCTCACCAGTTATAAGAAGGTGCTCGGTTGAACTCACAGCAACATATAGTTGTTCAATATCTGAAGATGATTGCATGATTCTATTAGGAATAGTTGTTTTAATAGTAACTAGGACACCGCCCCTCTTAAAGCTGAACTTGTAAGAAGATATCGGTCTTTTCGATATATATTATATCCATTAGATTAAGTTTGGAATCAAGGAACTGGTCGTTTAACCAGGTGTCGCTTAAGTTGGTAAAAGCATATCTAGAGTTTTTAATACAATAAAATTATAGAAAAAAAAAACATAAACCAATAAACTTCAATAATTATATTTCAAAGTCACATAGTGTTACAATTCTAACTAATGAGAAAATTTTGATTTCCTTTCTTTTACAAGAAGTTCAAGAGCTGGTGAAAGTAATGTTGGTGCTACGCGTAAATAAGGTGTTTTCCAAATTGGTATCGATAATCCTTGATTGGCGGATTGTCTGTAAGGACTGAAGGGCTACATTTTTTTTGGCTAAACCAATTTCTGGTAACATCTTCCTTTTTTTGGACACAATGACACAATATGTTTTCGCTAGTCTCGCGCTCGGTGAAGTGATTGGTTTATACAGCTTAAATTTTACTTGAGTAGTGCAGACTAACAGGAGGAGCTACTATAGCTTTATAAAGTGTTAAAGTCTGCGGATGATATAGATCAGCGTCTGGGATTGTCAAGTCTTCTTCCTCTCCTTCTTTATCTTTCTCATTTAAACTAGCTTCATATCAGTAGTCTTCTTTCTGTTGCTCCTTATGGGAAGAAATGTTCGTTCATCATCAATGCATGATGATATATAGGTGAGTTTCTGTTTTGCTTTACATCGCCTGTTCAAATCAGAATAAATTATTAACCAATAAGAACCTATAATGCGTGAACAACGTGTATTCGAGTTGTTCCAATATTTCAATTAGAGTTTCCAGGTTATAGTTATCATTATTCGGGAGATATGCATCTTAAATTTTGAGAATTCTTCATTATTCCTGGAGGACGTTCAAAAAAAGCAATGAAACTGAATTGTGTATCATCGCAATATATCAATAAACATTTAACAAAAACTAGTTCCAATAACTATAAACTAAATGAGTCTGCAAAACCTTTGACAGTCCTATTTCCACATACATTTCGAATCTGGATTATCTTACTTCATTGTACATATTGACTCAGTGGCGTAGCCAGCCATTTTTCATGGCAGGGATTTCTAAGAACTATTGGCGTTTCCACCAAGAAAATTAATAAAAACAGTCAAAATCGATCAGTGCCAATACTCCATGGGGGGTTCTGACCTCCATATTGTATTGCGTGTTTTATGGGGTCTTCGCTCTTCAGACAAAATTTTTAGACCAAATTAAATTATGATTAAGAATGTTCGCAAGAAAATTTCTTATTTAGAGAAGCCTGGAGTTTACCTCTAAATCCGGGAGGCTCCCGACCACCTGGCAACCCTATTTACAATCCACGTCGACTAGACACAGACACAAATTACAAACATCATTGTGGGCATTTTTTATGCGGTGCCTTTTGACATTATTTAGTATCGGCCACACTGTGGGCCACTGTTAAATGCAGGAAATTTTGAAATTTTTCAGTTTAAATTCACAGTTTTAAGGCTCCCAAAACAGTTATTTTTCGTTTTGTAATTTGAGTTGACGGAATTCGCGGCATTTTAATTGGTAGGTATTCAGCTAATATTCGCATTGTTGCTTATAGAGTCCGGAACTCCTAACCCCCCCCTTATATACGTCAGAGGTTAATCATATCACACTCAAATGTCTGAATACTACAAGCATAATTATATTGACCTCTTTTTTTCTTTTATTTTTGACGGTTTGCGTTAAGCGAACCAAATTTAAATGCATCAGTTTTATTTATCTATTTACGAAATCTGCAAGACATTATTTGGCTACGTTCCTCTGTCTATTTAGGGCGCTTGCGTAATCGCGATGATAGGTCTTGTTTAATTCCACACAGTAACAGGAAGAAGCGTTTTTCGCGGTATTTATAAAATGTGTTTACCAACGCCAGAGATCGTTTATCTTTATGGAGCACAGTTTATGTATATTTGATGAGACCTGGAGATATTGAGAGACGAGAATGCACAACACATGCACTTGTAATAACAGATGAAGTAGATACCGGGTGATCAAATAAGAAAGAACGCCGAATTATTTGTTTTTTAAGTTAAACATTATTTTGAAATTGTTAGGTTCGGCGCTAGGGGGCATAGAAACTCTGCGAATCAAATGTTTAAAATACACAATTGTTGGCACAATGACAATTGACAGCATTTTTCACACATTCTATTACTAATTATATCCGGTTTCAACTGTTGATAGTATGAAAAACGAAATATGCGGAATATTTTTGTTTTTTTAAGAAAAGGAGGAGGTTCTCAATTCGTCGGAATATTTTTGTTTTGTTTTAAACATGTTAAACGATAATTCTTTAACACGTTATCCGTTATCCAATTTTAATTATTCTTCTTTTGTTTGAAAAGGGGTCCCAAAAAGAGACCATTCCCAAATACATCCAGGGCAAAGATGTTACAGGGTTCACCAAAAGTCGAGGGGTCAAGAGAATTCTTCAGAGGAGAATCTATCCAGAATGGCTAAGGTTAAAAAAAGAGCCATTGGCAGATGCATCCGCTGAAGAAAAGATGACAGGGACATAAGAAAGTAATGAGCCAAATCGAACAACCGGAAGGATCTACCATTGAATAGCTAAAGTTCAATGAAAGAGCTATTTCCAGATACATCCGGTTAGAGAAAGTGGGCACACAGAATAATTCGTGTCATGACGACTCGGACAGCGGAGCGAGAATCGCCAATCAGTGCTTGCCAGCCAGTCCGTAGCAGCAGTTTCACAGTTTCGCAACTTGTATAGTGAAGCTAGTGTAAGGTTACCATATATATTGTTGATAATTTTTAAAATTTTTGTAAATTATTTGCATTAAGGGTTTTAAAAAGAATTGAACAAGTAGTTAAATTTTTTTTCTGTCGGGGGAATAATGTAATAATTGGCATTATTATTAGGTGGAAATATAAAGAATTTACCAAAAATTCTAAATAAGTATTTTAATGTTTTAAATTAAAAATTGAAAAGGAAGACACGTACGAAAATGAAACAAACAATCAGGTTATTAATCTAGTCAATGGCTACATTGAGCGTGACATTTTTAAAAAATACAACCATAACGTAAATTTTGGTTAATATAAAGAGGAGACAAAAAGAAAAGGTTCCTGGGTAAACTCCCAGTCGAGGGCGCGTTGGTTTTTTTAGGACTCGTTAAGTCCCAAACAAAAGTGATGAGTAGAGTAAAGTTTTGTGTACGATTTGTAAATTGAATCGGTCATTTGAGAAGCGACACA